ATTCAACAAATTTTTTAATATATGAAGATAATACCTTTTCTGATTATCTGTGATTATAGAATAATTTATGCAAATATCCTTCTTAGAATAAAGAATAACACATTTTGAGTCTCGTTGATCTCATCTAGCTTTACCAGAGTATTGAATAAAACTAGCTATTCATAGAAATATAAAGTATTATTTTATTTAAAAATTTTTTGTATTAGATTGATATATATACTTACTTATGCTCATTGGAATATTATAAAGTAAAACTAGATGAACATTAGGCATATTTATGCCCAAGTCAAATGCTAATATTGCGATCATTAAATGTGTTTGACCTTTGTTTCACTTTATCATTGTATTTTTTTTTTTTTTTTTTGACAATTGCTCATTATATATATTTAATGATATTTTTTTAGTCTTTGTATCTAGCATTTTATAAACATCTAAACAATCCTTAACACATGCACAATAAATTATTATGCAATTAGTTTTTCTTACATTCTTTATTAAACTTATCATTTGATCTGCTACAGTATCCTTTCGATCTTGTACTGAGAAAAGTAACTCTTTGCATAGTAAATCAGTGCTTCTCACAATTTTAAACCAATTTTTATCAATATTTAAATTGTTTCTAAGAGCCTCTATATTGCTTCAGGATAAAGTTGCTGTCAAGACCATAATTCAGACATTAGAGAAGTTTGTTTTAACATGTCTAATTTTTCTCACTTCTCTCTAAAAAAAAATTTTTATTAATGACTTATATTATGTTTTGTATTTGTATTTTTTTTTTTTTTTACCTGAAATAATGAAAATTAAAAATACAATGAGCTTCATCAATTACAAATTGTAGTTTCTTATCATTATGCAAGTGACTGCATAACTTTTTAAGTGATTGATTAAGCAATAATTTTCTGGAATAATATAAAGCAAACGAGTAAACCCAAGGACTATTTCCTCAAAAAGGGTTAATTTATATTCAAGTATTTCTTGAGACAATGTCAGTAGGCAACCATATAGAATCCCAAATTGAACAAAATAGTTCGGAAGGTAAAATCGATTAGACACATAATTTAATACTTGAATTTTCTACTTAATTGATATACAAACTACTTGATTTTGAATCAATAATTTTAAAGGTAAAATAACAACTGTGAGTTTATCAAATAGAATAGCAGAGGTTGCATAACAAAAGGATTTTTCATCTCCAGTTTTTATAATAGCAAGCATATCCTTTTCTTCTTTCATATAACATCTTATAGCTTCAATTTGTTTTGATCTTAAATATGTATATTTAAAATTTTCTTTTGCGATTATTTCAATATGCTGTTTTAAACTTAGAGATTGATATACTTCGTCTTAAATTATATTCAGGTTTATAAGTCTTTTATTTCAACCAAATGTTTGGTATATATAACACAATGCATATAGGCTTTTGAAATGCTTTGGAAAGGCATGGCAGCAAATACATTATACAATTACATCAAAGTCTGTAATCAATGAAGCAAAGGATAAACAAAACTCATTATTGTGAAGCTGACTTAGTGCTTTATCCTTATAAGGAACTAATTCCTATATTGTTGAATTATATAATAGTAAGTAACTATTTAAATCTTTATAATTATAATTGTTAAATTACCTTATCAAAGTTAAAACCACCTAACTCTTTATGTTTATTGGTATAACATTCAGCTTGTATTTTATTACATAGCATTATTTTTTGTATGTTCTATTGTTATTTTGTAGAACACTTATTTTTTATATTAATAATATTAAGCAGATCTTTCATCTCAAATGGTTTTCTATAATAAATTTCTCGAAGCTCAGAAAATAGATAAGTGTACCCTTCATTGTAATATAATATAGTCATTGCATAACATGCAGAATATGACTGCCAATTATCAATTTTTTATCTGTATATACAAGTTTTACTCTATTAAATACTTTATTTTGGGATGTCTGATTGAATGTGACAATTCCTTGACCATAAGGTAAATAAAAAATTGTTTCAAGAAGTTTTCAAAATTCATTAATTCAATCCTCAGATGAATTACAAAGAGTTGGTTCTTGTAAAAAAATTTCTAAATCATCTTTTGTCAAACACATTTCTGGCCAACAACCTGTATGATTATTTTGTAGATAGTTAATAAGGCTCTCTATCTGCATCTCTCTCATTTTGGTTTCAGATGGTGCATCATGATTTTGAACTACATTTTGAAAAGCTGATAAATAAATGTATCCTCAAAACCAGCACATTACATGGTTCTCAAATGTGTAAAACCAGACATTTTTTGATCTAAAAAAGCATTAAATGATTAATTAATTAATAATATAATCCATCTTTGCAAGAAAAAAAAATTTATTATGTAAGAAGTTTCTAATATTTTATATTAAATATTTTGATCTGCATAAATCTTAGTCACAATAGATATATTTGCAAGGATCTTATTTGAATCTAAGTCACTGTCAACATATATTTTCAGATGTAATTTAGCTTCTTCTAAGAGCAAAGTAATTTCGTTTAATACCTTTATCAATATGGCATGCTTCATTTGTCTTAAGGATTTGTCAAAATTGCCTTGATGGATTATTTTAGTAAGTTCTAACTTTTTTTTTTTAAATCTAGTTTTTTCAACTACATGAAATGCAATAATTGGCTTGTGTGAATAATCTATATAATATATAAAAACAAATGAAATTAATTGTAAATTAAATTAATGTTTAGATATAAACTATATATATACCAGATAATATGTCTTGATATATTAGCTTTCTACTAGCTTGGTTCACATTTCATACATAAGACTATGAACAGTCAAAACCTACAGATAGTACTTTTTTATATTGTAATAAGGTATAATTTATACATCTTTTCAATGCTTTTTTTGTACTGGATTTTGCACAAACTATAAGAGGATCAAAATATATTTTTTGATAACTATAGTATGTTTTATTGTCTATTTGGTTCATAATTCCTATTATAGCTAAAGAACTTTGCAATGCATTACAAGATATTTTACCTGCAAGTTCTGAAGCTGCTATAGCTTTTGCAAATCAGATCTCCTATTCTTCATTTATGTATTCAAAGATAATATTACATTTTGTACATTCTACTGTGCTTTTAACATAAAATCTACTTGATGTTATATTAAAAATTTTATTTGTAAGGCCATTGTTATTGCAGTTATAGCAGGGTTGTGTAAATACTAATAAAAAGTATTCTTTTGTAGAAATTAGTATCATAAAACCAAGTTGGGCAGGTTCTATAGAATTTTTAATACTTGTTTCCAATAATTCCATCTTATTAAGACTAGCAATTATTTTTTCTAATTTATTTCCTAATTGTATTATACAATTTTGGAGTCTGGTAATTTGTCAACGAAGATTGTGAATTTTTGCTTGACTTTCTTTATAATTAACTATTAATGTCTGTGCACTTTTTGGAGATAAAATTTTACTTTCTTTTTCTAATAATATATTTCTTTTTATAGGATTATCTGAGAGTTCTCCTATAGATTTATTAAGATTAGTGCTCAATTTTTTATTCTGTTTTAATAAATTAGCATGCATTATTTCTTCAGTTTTCATAATACTTTGATTCTTAAACAGATTAGGATAATGTTTTGTGATGATTGCCCACAAGAATGCAACATTCCCAGGATCTCTGAATCCCAGAAAATAAGGTAATGAGTGCCTACTATTTGGATTATATTGTGCTTTTATTTTATTATTAAAAAGACAATAATCAGATCCAGTTCCCTTTGAGTTTTGAAAATCAGTATTGGTTTTATAAATATTCTATAGAAATTTAAGGATGTTACCTTCTTTTACAATACTAAATTTCTAAAATATTTTTGCTGTGTAAAAAAAAGTAGAATATCTGAGCAATAAAGGAATCTACTTATCTTTTTCATTAGTTTTATAATAGTAGTATCTAGCATGTGATGAAGCGATTTTATTAAATGAGACTGCTTGGAGCTGTTTGTATAGAGGCAAAACTTCAAGCTAATCAATTTTGCTAACAATGCATTCTTCTTTTAAATCTTTTATTAGGGTTCTTTTTTCTGGCATTTGATCAATGCATTTTTTATACCATTTTCACAATTTAGAATTTTGTTGAAAGTTTATTGTATTAGTAGATTCACTGATATAAACTCGAAATTGTAATAGTATTCGAAGAAATTCTGTAGAATGATTTATGAAAATATGGTTTGAGGTATATCAAAAATGGCGCATAAGATTCAATTTTTTATACTTTTTGCTAGCTCATTTTATTATTTAATTTTCAATAGTGCTGATTTATGGGTTCTCTATAGTGTTTCAGTTCTGCTTAGCAAACTGTTTCATCAAAAAATTAGATTTGTTGTGTTGTAGATTAAGCTAAAACATTTTATTTTGCAAGCATTTTGAACTTTGAAAAGCAGTTTCATTAAAACAATTATGCTTTATAGTTAAATAGAACTGTTTCATTACTGCACAATATTTTGATTTTTGAAAAACAGTTTCATCATAATAATATTCTTAGTATTATGAACAAATTAAAGTATTTTTTCATGAAACCTGTCAAGTGATTCAAACTTTGAAAAATAGAAGTTTGTTATATTATGCATTATATGACTACAGTACATCAGCCAGAAAAATAATCAAGCAGAGCAATTTATTATTATTATTGAAAGGTTATTATATATTGCATTTTTAAAAATGCACAAAAAAATAAAAATGTTATAAATGTATAATAAAAACATAGATAAGTATTTTTATATTTTTAAAATTTTTATTTTTATTTTTATAATATTTTTCTCTAGAAAATATAATCTAATTGTTGCTCAAAGAATTTGAGCTCAATATGATCAATCTTTATAATGAAGTGGATAGATAAAAAAGTTGATGATGCATTCTAATTAGCTAATTATTGAGATTATTTTTTTACTGACATGAGTAATTGTATGTCATATCTTTGACTTTAAGATTCTAATCTGAAATTTTTATTTTTGCATTAGAAGTTGAAACCTTTTATGGTTGATAACTTAAAATTTAAAATAAGGTAAAGGAAAGTTTTTTGCATTTAAACACTTATTGGCTTTAGAAAATTGTAAATACTACTTGATCTTTCATTATTCTTAGCAGCATTTTAGCTGCAAGTAATAAAAAAATTTTGATTCATCATTAATATTATGAACATGCTGAGGTATTTAACTATCAACTGAAGATGATTTAAAATCTGCTATAGTTGAAAATCTAGCAAGCAATGAGAATGAAATACAAGCTCTAGGGGCAATTAAATTATATATGAAACTGGAAATTCAAGTCAGTGAAAAGAATCTTGGATTTGGCTATTAAAACAGTGCAAGTTATATATTAAGCTTATACTTCCTAACTATGAAATTTTTCTTTATTTTAAGACATTACTAAGATTTCTTTTAATTATTAGAAAGTGCATCATTTCTGAAGATACTGTATATAAATTGAATATAATAACTTCTCAGATAACTATCAATAAATTTTTTTTTTTTTTTTTTTGCATATAACTTATATATCTAATAGATTTTTATTTAAAAGTGATTACATCTTATTATAATCTTACTTATAATAATAGTTCTAATAATGCTGATAGTATTAATAAGAATAATAACAACGATTACAATCATTACAATTATTATTTATTAAAAAAATCATCATAATGCTCAAGATTTTTTGTTTGAGACAATGTCAAATCAAATTTATTAAATCAATATTATAAATAAAAAATATTTATAAAGTGAAAACCTTATATTCAAAATAAAACCTTAATGAGAATCTACTCAATCATAAGTTCATAATTATTAGTTCTAAGCTAAAATCTAAGTTGAAATCCCTTTATTCAATCATTAGTCCTTATTTTACTTGTTCATTCTTATTCATTACAATTTGCACCAAGTCTGTATTATAGATGCAGACTTATGACATCACCTAGCTATGTTCTATATAAAAAATTAGTTTATAAAATAAACCACAATTAAGCTATAACTAATGATATAAATAAGTCTGCATCTATAGTCTGTATACAAATGCTTTTTTAATTCAAAGTTATTACTGAGAAATTCAAGAATAGTATGATGTTCTTGTAAAGTAGTTCTGCTAAGTTAAATCTTGCATATAGGCTACACCTATATATGCTAGACAAATCCAAACAAATCCCAAACTCTAAAAAAATAAATAGCATTTATAAAAAATTGAATCAAAAAAATAATCTTTAAATTTTGCAGATATATTATACATGATCATAAGAATATATACTGTTATTTAAATGAGAATTAGTAATAAAATTTTTCTGATATTAATTTGATCAGAGTTTGGGATTTGGGCACAGACAAACTCAAACTATAGTAGTTTAGGATTTGGGCACAAACAAACTCAAACTATAGTAGTTTGAAATTTGGCCAGCAAGTATAAGTACACCTGCTAATAATTTTCAAGAAAATTTCTAAAAAACAGTATAGTGTTAATGTGCACATGTGAATGCTTTACCTTTTTGTTACTAAGAAATTTAAAGACAGTATGGTGCTCTTGTAAAGTGCATCTACTAACATTCTTTAAGGTTATTCTTAGCATATCTAAAAAAAAATATGTAGTATTCTTGCAAAATATATCTGAAAGCTTTCTTTTTCCTGATCTAAAGTTACTACCAAAAAGAACAGCATAATGTTTTTGCAAATACATTTGTAAACATTTTTTCTTTTTCTAATTCAAAGTTATGATTGGAAAAGATTTAATTGTGAAATAACTATAAATGTTTTTTCTTCTAATCAAGAAGTTAGTGAAGTGTTCTTACAATGTGCCTCTGCAAATGCATTTTTATCTGATCTAAGGTTATGACTAGAAGATTTCAAGTTAGCGTATGTTCTTACAAATGCATTTGCTAGTGATTTTTCCTGATATAATAGTAAGAGTTAAGAAAGGCAGCTTAATGGTTTTTATATATAAATTAAAAAAAAAAATAAAATAAAGTTTCAGTATAATAAAAAATATAATAAAAGCAGTGTTCTTGCAAATAGTAGGCTACATATCAGTATATGATATCTGATATCCAATACAAACTCGAATCTGATTTAATAATAATTTGTTCTAGAATCCTATTAGAAGATTTATCCTATTTGTATAATCCCATAAAAACATAGAGGCTTTCTGGAAGACTTTGGTAATATATAAAGTAGAATTTTCTCAAATAAAACAAGTTTTAAAATTATTATTACTATAAATAGAAGTTCTTGTCTGCATGCTATGAAATTTTGGTAAAAATTTGTTAAAGCATTAAAAAGTTTTGCTTGTGGCAAGTTTTTATTTTCTATATAAAATTCTATAATATCATGTAGATTATATAAAAAATGATCTATGTACACTTCACTCTTAATGAGTTTTTAATCTATTTTAATAATTTTATTATCATTAAAATCAAAAAGACCTACTTTATAATTTTTACTTAATAATTAAAATTAGTTACTTAATATAATTTTTCATAAAATTAAATATAAAAAAAATTTACTATTAGATTTATATATAATTTTAAAATATTGTTTTCTATCCTTAATTTGATTATAGTTACAAATATTTTAATTTTTTTATTTTTATTTTTTTTTAGTATTAAGATGACCTCTTTAGTCCAAGCATTTTATTAATACTTATAACAGGTATATGTTTTATATAGATGTATTTATAATAAACTATTAGACAAATATACAACTGGCTACATATATAACTTTTCTATATTACCTATTTAAAGAGTCTGCCCAAAGGTTTACTATCAGTTATTATACCTAATACCTCTGCTTAGATGTTCTATTTAAACCCTCTGATCTAACCCTAGTATTAATTTTATCTGCTCACAGACCTGGATCTATTCGCATTTGACTATAGGACTATAATCCTTAGACTATTTTTATTCTTAAGGTAAATCTACCAGAGCGAGCCATATTCTCTTTTACTACTAACCTGGTTTGATACTATGGCCAAGACCAACACTTGCAGTCAGAGTTATTTCATAAACTACTATTATTCTTGTAAAGTTCATCCAAATCCTAGTACTTATCTTTCCAACTTCTTCTTCATCATTCTCTACTAGCCACAACTTGGAACTAACTGACTTCCCAGACTTCCAATTCAGATGGCCTGGTATGATATACTTATATATTCTTTTTTTCTGATGATTCTGGTGGCCTGGTTGGTTATATGCTTCTCTATACATCTTTGTCATTCAGTTTATTTAACAGTTTCTATGAAGGTGTTTTATAAGCTTTCATCAGTCTAATGGCATTATCAAAAGTTTGTGCTACCTCTTTACTTAGGATTTCCAAGTGAGTTTTCATCTCTTAAGTTTCTTAGTCTTCTACACCCAGTGATCTTATTATAGGTTTGCACCAAAGCCTTATATAACACTAGTTTTTTTACATTCCTCTATATATATATACTATGTAATGTTACATTTTGCATAGATGCCCTGAGCTCCTAATGTCAAGTGGGATCCAACTTGGTGTACCTAAGATTACAGATGCCTAAAACCTAGCTGATCAGCAAGAGATAGTTATTGTAACACAAGTATAATTTCCAAAATTCGTCATCTGTGAGAATTAAACCTTAGACCTACCACTTAAGAGTTGACAACCTATCCACTTCACTAGATTGCCACACCTCTATTTTATTTCAACTGATCAACAAAATGCTATTATTATAATATTATTTATATATTATATAAGTAATTATTCAAATTTTTTGCTATCAGTGAGTTTTGAACTCACAATCTACTACTTAGAAGGTTGACAACTTATCTATTTTATTAAGTTACTATACTTTAAGATTATATTTTTAAATTAAAACTTTATATTATTAAAAAGTTTTTATAATAATAAATATAAACTTAAACTAATTTTTTTTTAATATAATACAAAAAAATAATATCATTTTTAATCAATTTATTAATAATTATAAATTAGTTTTTTTGATATTTTATATTAAATTGTTATAAATATCTAACTTTTTTTAATTCTTTTTTTCTGTAATTTATACTATTGAATTTTTTTTTATTTTGATATTCTTTGGAATTCTTATAAGTAAAATATATATTAATAAATTATAATCTTATTATTATTATTTTTATTTAAAATTTTATTAACTTAAAACTAATTTTTAGCTTATATTTTTAATATACTTTTATAAAATCTTCAATTTAAAAAAAAACAATATCAACATATAACCACTACTCTCATTATTACAATTAGATTTTTTATTACTTTTGTTCTTATAAAATAATTGAATAATTTTCAGATTATTGCTTCTTGACTCTTGCTCAATTACATAAATTCTTTGATTACCTAATTTATATCAAAAAAAATTAACAAATGCTAAATTGTAAAAATCAAAAAAATTATCAAAATTCTGATCATTAAAGTTTAAAAAAAAAGATTAGGTTATATCAAAAGTACTACAAAGAAATAAAAGTTAACAATATGCAATTAACAAAATTTTGAATAAAAAAGCAAGTTAGAACTGTTAATGAAACACTCCATGAACTCTATTTTAATAGTAATACTCTAGAGTATTACTAAAAATGAAATCAACAGTGTTTCATTAACAACTCTATAATTTACCATCTTGTTCTTCATTATAAGCATGAAAAATACGGATCAGAAAACAAGGGTTCTGGGATATTATTTGACATGACACTGTTACAGGACAATTGTAGTGACTTGAAAGCTATAGCAGAGACAGTGCCCGATCCAAAGTGAACCCCTCTCGCCTGTGATCAATCACAAATTAAATTATTTATGTTGGATTCAATTGTGATAGATATAATCCCTCACCAGTTTTAATATGTGTAACATTAACGGTCTCTGCTGTATGAATCAGAAAACTTATATATATAAAGGTTATCAAACGCAATATTAATTCAGGTTGGACTTTTAAGATAATGATACAGTACACAGAAGGTAGATGAGCGATTCTAATGTAACAATTAAGATTATATTTCATACACTTTATGCAAACGAACTCTGTGCTTACAAGTTATTTACAAATTCGGCATATTGTTAACGTAATCTCCGATGGGCTATTCGGGATAAATTTAGATATTGCAATTGCGATACCGCAATTAACAAATTTATATTTTTAAATAATCACCAAAATAAACAAAATCCGCCCATACGAATTGCAAAATTTTGTTTACACTAGTGGTGTAGCCCCAATCCAACAATAGTTTCCGCTATTTGAGTGACATTAACTCCGACTAATATGTCATAATTTTTGCAAAATCGATCAAAATGTGTCAAAGTGCCGAAGCAGTTTGGGTTACACACGGATTAGTCCGAAGAAGTCAAAAAATACAGCAAACGCAAAAAGACGAAAAACAGCAATCTAAACCTATCTTTGAGCACTAATTAAAAATGTCGGGAAGGCAATTTTACCTATACCTCTCTTTTTATATCAACACCAAACCAACCCTAACCCTAACCTTAATACGATTAAACCGTCAACATCACGTTGGTACATCCCCGAAAATGGGCACCCTGAATTACTAATGATTTATCGTGATTATAAAATGAATCCCCAATTAAATTAAACTAATATAGTTATCGCGCCAAACCCATCTCCTCACCTTAAAACTTATCTCCTATCGCTATAAAATTTATTTTAAAATCGATCTTTTGATGATATATCCCTTAACGTGAAATATATATACACTGACAAAATATCAATTTAATTTGCTGTGTAATAAATTTAAGGTAGTGTAAAAATTTGCCATAATGATTGTATTTAATTGGTCAATTGCTTTTCTCAGCTGTAAGTGCTTATGAAAATTGATCATGAAGTTAATCAAATCAAAGTTTGAATTTGAATCAAATATTTGAAATTATTCAAATTAATTAAAAATTCAATCGAACGATTTCAAAAATTTGATTTGATTTTGTGGAGTACTACGTATACATAATATTTGTAAATCATTACTATACGCATATTACTAATTTTAATAAACTCAACATTTCCTATCAAAAATTTTCGCCCATATGCTAGGTATTTAGCATCTGTGCTAGAGGCCTGCGTTGGGTCCCGCAGCCCGGGCCGGGACTGAAGCAAAATTTTATAATTGCGGGCCGGGCCGGGCCGAAAAATTTGCAAAATTTTATAATTGCGGGCCAGTGCGGGCCTAAAAATTTGTAAAATTATATAAGAAATTTTTGTGGGCCGGGCCGGGCCGGGCCTTAAAAATAGGCAATTTGCAGGCCCCTAATCTGTGCTTATAATAATGTCCAGTATTTAGTGTCTATAGTGTCCGGTACTTAGTGCCTATAGTGTTCGGCACTTAGTGCCTATAGTACTCAGCACTTAGTGCCTACACTTAGTGACTATAATAATTCCATAGTGCCTGGCACTTGGTGCCCATACATGTACTGGGCCGGCACTTAGTGCTGCATAAATAAGCTGTAAAGATTAAGTTGCGACTTTGCAGCAGGCAACATTAATGCCCATACCATGCCTAGATTTTTGTTGGGCAAGGCACGAGCCCAGCTTGCAGACCCCTAGTACATACGTACGTACGTATGATTTAGTCTTTATGGATCAAAGATTGTTAAATTGTGTTTAGGCTCAAAGAATGCATTAAGTAATATAATGAAATTTCTATATGTAGAAAGCATTTCGCTTATTTTATTGCATAAAAAAAAAGATTTATTTCTACCAATTTCAATCTACGATATAATTTATTGCCTGGTCACTAATTCAGACATATTTGTCGTTGCAGCTTCTTCATCTGAAACAACCTGTTCTGCATTTTCTTCGTCATCAAGTTTAATTACTGGTAGAGTTGCTGGATATATATAAAATACCAAAAGACCCACTATCGTACAGACCGCTGCTACTGGATATAGCATATGCATCTATTTTTTTTTAAAAAAAAACCCCATGTGAAAAAATCATGTGTAGAAAAAAAACTTTGGATGAATCATAATAACTTTTAAATACATACCACAGCTTTAAATAAAAACCAACTGAATATCAAAGTGAAAAAATCACTGGTAAGGAATGAAAGATTAAAAAATGTTGCCGAGGCTAACCGTAACAATACTGGAGTCCCTATGTATGTCACTACGGTCGTTATCGTAAAAAAAATAGCGAGGCAAACTATTTACAAGGTCAATAAAAGAATTATAAATAAAAACAATAAAAAAATTTAAATATAAATTGACGTTTGAATTGATGTTCAAAAGTAATAAATACTTATAGGTCCGGTCCATACAACTTTTGCCAAATCGTAACGTTCCAAAGTTACTCTTTCAACAAAAAAAAACGTGTAATATGAAAATATTAATTTTTTGCATGCAACACATAAAATTCACAATAACCTTCTTCTTTTTGGATCTTACACTTGAATTCCACTAATAATCATTCCCCAAAGTCCCATTTGTCCTAATACTTCGTATGTTGGCCGTTTTCTCACATAATACTCTTCGGCAACATTAGAGATTCCATAAAATGTTGCACTTATTAAGCAAAGTATATCACCCTTTATCGGATCCAATGCTTTGTTTAACCAGGGTTAGAATATATTATGTGTAAATATAAAGAAAAAAGAAAAAAAAAAGCTTTTTTAAACTTACCATAATACATATCTTTTCCACTTTGAAAATCAGCCTCGATCAAGATACCAATTCCAGCCATACAAATTCCCACACCCAAATATTGAGACCAATGATATTTTACGTGCAAAAAGAATATGGATAATATCACACACACTGGGATCGCCCAAGCGTCAAGCAGGATCGTAGATAGGATAGATGTATACACGTAAGCTTTTATTCCGAAATAATTCGCCTCTACATCTATTATCGAAAGCAAAAAATCTAAAGGGGAGACACGGACACGTGATTACACACACTAATGGACCTTTTTAACAAGTAAAGAAGAACTTACACTTCCATCCGCGAACTCTAAGCATTCTCAAGTATTCACGTATACCATACTTATAGATGGTAATAGGCGTATAAATAGAAGTCAAAGTTGTATACATAAAAAAACTTAGAGTTGCAGGTAAACTGGTATTATAATTAAGTGTTAAAGCGGTGACAAGAACAATTGAACCTGTGATGCATATCGAAAGTAATTGACCGAGTAAAAAAATGAAAACAAATTCTTTCGTAAATAGAAAAGAGAATTTGGAGTTTATCGATGGTGTTATCTGTAGTTGAGAGATTGAAATTTGACATGTTTCATTACGAGATATTGGAATGGTCGTATGTGATAGAGGCTTTTCTTTATTAGAAGACATTTTTTTTTTTCTACGAAATATGACGAGAATAAATAGATTCCAAGACTATTCGGTCATGTGCTTTGAATAACGGTTGGCGTATCTTTAAATTCGAGGAACGAAAGAAATGATCCAAGAAATTAAAGAGAACTATACAAAATACGATGGCTTTTATTTGAAATAGAATAATCAGTAGAGATATAGTGTATTTAAGAGAATGCATTACTATTTTTGACGGTATACATAATTGTCGGAGTGGCAATTAGTTCTGTTTCATTCGTGATGAACTAATTTCCGAGACTTCTAAACCGGATAAGCCACGATGACTGGGATCTTGGAAAGATAAGGTTTTAAATATTACAATTTTTATCGGATATTATTATTTTACATATCAGTTAATTTCAATAACTTCATTCTACTTGTGGTTAGATTTGGTTCATTGATTCTTGATCTCGTGATCCAGATTGAATCATACTTTGGGCATATACATTAAGAAAACCTGAGCTAAACACGAATAGTACACCCAAATATAGATTTTTCTTGAATAAAGCACAAATACAGACCCAGAGCTCAAGTCCCACCACTACAACAATTAACCTACACACTATCCAAATACAACTCCACTCTGTTACAGACATTGCGCAAAACAAGTACAATAAATGGCTTCCGGACTTCATCCAACACAGCATACCGACTACAAACATTATATACAGTACATAGACTAGGAGGCCCTGGACCTCCTTAGCAAGTCTTGACCGAAAGTAGTCTCTAGTTCCTCATAACATTGTATCCAATTACACTATGTAATATTTCATATGATGATAATAAAGGAATAGAGACCAGGCCTCACTTTTAAAAAAAAAAAAAACAAACCGAATAAATTTCTAAAAAAGGGTTACTGTTTCAGAAAAATAAATGATAAAATCTTTGCGATTTAAATGTTGCAGATATTAAAATTCCAAATATATCTTCTACTAACGTTTTCTACTAACGTTTACCATAATTACTCCAAATAACGCCCCGGGCGTTATTTAGGGACATTCATTTTGAAGAGAGCTAACGCTAATAGTTAATTTAGTCTGTGATCTATTATTTTGAGAAGAAAAAACACCTTCAACTAAACTATTGATTCTCTGTTATTTTGCATTTTTACATTCTATGCGTATTAAAAGTTATAAGACATTAATTTTGACTTAGAAAATGTGTAAACTATAGTGATTAGATATGTAACTTTATTATTAATATTATAAATAATGTAAAGTAGAAATGTGTATGAACTTCCTATCGCTATGTAGTGTGAGTAACTAAACAAGAATTTTCTGATCTGTTAATGACTCTTGCCTAAATGGAATACATCTATGTTGTACAAATAAATACAAAAAAGTAATATACATACGTATAATCAGAAAAGTCTAATGAAAATTTTTGCTAAACATAACAATAAAAGTACAAATCAAGGTTTGTGCAAGTCCATAAACTTGATTATTAGAAACTGCAACGTTTTTTAAAGATTCATGTCCTCCTGGAACGTCCGGGCTTGTGAAACTGTTGGAAAACACACTTTTAACCCAACTAATACTCAAATTGAAATAAACTATTTGTCCAGTTGGATTTTGCAACGCCAAGCATTGGGAAACATTGTCGTCCAATGGTAAATTACCAACATCTTGATCACAAGTTTGAACTGGTTGTTGATAACAGGATAATGATGGAATGTAATTAAAGTTCGAAGTATTGGAGGCAAAGATTGTCACGTTGCCGGCAGTCAATTGATAGGCTATGAGTGCAGGAATATATTTAGGAACACTGGATGCTGCTTTTCCAGGTACAGTTGTGCCGATGAAATTGGGAGTTACATTCAATGATGTGTTGGAAACGCGTAGACTGTAACCTATTTATCATTATAAAATATTTTTTAGTTTGTTGCCTTATTCATCGATTTAACCATTTATTTATTTCAAAAAGTTAAAGTGCAGTTTTCCTTTAAATGTTAATCGGAATGCACTTAAATTAAATAGAAAACTTACTTATATAAGTTGTGCTAAAATTACTACAAGCATACCATATACCACCGTATGGCGGAATCTCAGCGGTGCCAATGTATATATCTCCACTGTATACATTAATGACCTATAATTAACTAAAACACGATCAGTGAACATTAATCGAGGTTTTTAACACAATGCTACTAAAATTTCAAACCTGGGCAATCAAGAGTGCCGTTACAAAGACCAAATTGGTTTTAATAATGGCCATTTATCTTAATTATATTACTCAAAAGAACAAGGTGTTTAAGGAACGAATGAATGAATATGATTTATTATAATAAGATTATTATAATAATAGAGGAATAAAAAGTTGCGAAAGAAAAAAAAACCTGAAATATGCGCATATAAATACATTTTCAAATGCATAAATTTCTCGACTCGCAGCTATATTCTCTTTCATTATAATAATATGTTCTTAACATCATTCGGGTGACTTTAATGAGTGCATAATTCAATTCAACACAACTTTTCTTCAAAAATCCCTTTGATCCATATTCAGAAATGCGATGGATCTTCAATGTAAATTTTTCCCAAAATGCTAACACACATTTCCTTATATGCTAGCTTTAATTAAAAAATTGACCACAAAACCTAAAATGGTATTGCAAACTGCTGGATAAGTGAAAAATAGTTGGTTTTTGATCGATGAAGAAAAATATACGATGTTAAATTAAAGCGAAAAAATCAATCATACTGATAAAATTTTAATTTCTTCCTGCATGATAACAGACAATGCTTTTTTTATATACTTATATACTTTGCATGATTTTGCATTCCCGAAGAAGCAAAGAATTGAATAAATCAGTCATACTTTTCATCCGTTCCGCATATAGTATCTGCACAAAAAGATTCTCGAGCAAACCATCTAATATCGTAATTTCTCTCTGACCACTAATCAACTTTTCAAAAAATTTGATACCATCTCTTTGAAACCCTTATGTGGAATTCAAGATGCTAATTTATGATGCGTTATGGTTCAATTTTCTTAAATGAACGAATTATCATCATTCTTGTTTTTTTTTTTTACAAAATTTCATTGTTTGCCGGATTTGTAATGGTTTAAACCAATTATAATTGTCATATCTTTCACTTTGATATATCTTAAGTATACAGTATAAGTCATATGAAACAGTAATCACAGATACAGTTCAAGAAAAGAATCTTTTTACCTGTGGGATTATTGAAAGCTACTCTAGTAATGATCATATGTTAGTATCACGTACGTACATAAGATTAATTCTCACATGCTTCATGTGCTTTATTCGGTAATTCATTAGAATATAAAAAAAAAACATATCTATCACTATTTTTCGAGATTCTAATAATAATCACATGTTAATATAACTTTGGTTACCTTTTGGTTCATGATATACGAAAGATACCATAGATACGTAAGTAAGTACATCATACGTAGGTAAGTACATAAGGCACGCACACGCACGCAAGATTGTCTTCTAAATAATACACTGTCCTTAAATTATATATTTATATTTATACTTTAAATCATTTTTAAAGAAAGTTAATTTTTCTTGTTTTTAATAATCAATTCTAAAAACTGACCCGGGCACCTGATTTATTTACATGCAGTATAAAAATTTTACTTTAAACTTCAAACTCGGTTATTAAACATGCAAAAAAATTTTCAAATGCTTTCGAATTTGACCCGGATCTTGGAATCAAAAAAATTGATTCTGCATAGCTTAATTTTTATATAATATATATACAGTATTACTTTAAAAAAAATAAATTTTTTTTTGTTTATAAAAACGCGAATTGGCGTACTTTTATTATGCTAAAATTACATTAGATTATTTACATATTTTGAAGTTCAGGTTTCTTTAATGAACCTAATTATTTTAAGGTTTCTTTTTCTGTGTATTGTACTAGGAACTTTACTTTTTTTTTTATTCTAATTTCTATTACTCTTTTGATTTTTTTCTCAAAATCAGCAATATTTTTCCATCTAGCCTAAGTATATCATAGCTAGATTTTATAAATTATTGTTAAATATAGTTATAAAGTTGGTTCTTGTAATTGTATATTAGAAATGTTAGATGTTGTAATAATTTTTTCTACAGAAACCTAAATTATTTTGTTAGTCTTACATTTCAATACAAAATGTTCAAATGTTTTTTTTTTTTTATTTAAACAGTTATGCTAGTACTTTATTGAGTTTTTGAAATTATATTTGTAACTACATAAATATTTCTAATATCTAAGTCTAGCATTACCTAGTCTCCTTAATGGTACCTAAGTGCAACCTGCCACATTATTTTAAGCAAAAGTAAGCTACTTGTCTGACTACTTAAAGTTCATAATGAAAAGGTCTTCTCTCTTCTATGACAAGCCTCAAAATTGTCTTCGTTACTTTCTTCTTAACTTGTTTTTCTTTTTCTCTTATTTCTTCTTTTTTTTCTTCTATTTTTTCTTAATCTGCATTTTTTCATTTTCCTGGTTTCTTCAGTTTTCTATCTTTTTTTCTTTTATTTTTACCTGTTATTCTAATTTTTTTTTTCTATTTGATAATTTTCTTACAACATATTCTCTATACTTGTTCATAGAATGTGTCTAAGACTGTTATTACTACTGTATTTACAAACTGCTATCTTGATCTTGTGTTTAATAGTTTTACTAGTTTGTTTTATGTTTTTTTTAGAATTAGGTTTTTTATTAATGCTTCTCTTATTTTAACTTTTTCTGTTTCTGTTTTCCAAAAGAACACTGTATATAACACATATAGAGAAATCTGAATCTTTTTTTCTTCTTTTAATTTCTTTTATGCTGTTGTGATAATTACTTTTTGGATTCTTTTTCAGAAATTTTTCTGTTCCTTGCATACTACCAAATATGCTTGTATCTCTTTTATTTTATCTTAATATACTTGGCATTCTACTATTGTATATATATCTGATCTTCTTTTATTGAATTTTTTTAAGATTAAAAGTTTATTTATTATGCACTTGATAAATACATTTCTTCTGACATTGCTTTTTCTTGTTATATAATGTATTCTCTTAATCGTCTTTAGACTTTTTCAAAAATAAATCTAATTATAAATTATGATTTCTGCTTTTGGCTCTAAATCTTTAACTACTCTTATTTCTTTCTACTCTGCTTCTAGTCTTATATTTATTATTAACTTGCAAAACAATTTTGCTGATATATCAGTTCATCTGTTTTTCCATTTTAGACAGTACTCTATTTCTTTATAACTAACTTTTTTGACTTATACTATTTTTCTACTCATTATTTTTTTCTTTGTTAAACTATCAGTTTTATTATTCTACTTGTCTTTATTATGACTTTTAACTTTAACTAAATCTATCTGAATGTTTTTTATCTTAACAAGGACTTTAATCTTCATTAACTATATTGTATTTTTCTTTTTAATAATCTTGTTTCTGTCTGCTTGTTCTAGGCTTCTACTAATGTTTCTTATTACGTTATTACTATCTATATATATTTCTATTTGCTTCTCTTTAGATATTATTAAAATTGTTGATCAGATTGCTATCAACTCTGTTATTATTGATGTTTGTCATTCTTCTAGTCCAAATGTTAGTTCTTTTTTTGGTCATTCTTATATTTCATTTATTTGAACCTATTTAATACCTATATTGTTCTTAGATGATAGCTCTTTACTGTCTTTTTTATTGGTTATACTGTCAGTATATATTATATATTTATTCTTGTTTCTCATAATATTTCTTTTTAAGACTTTTGTTATTTCTTGACTAATATTTTCTTCTAATTCTTGTCATTTAATAATTTCTATCTCTAGTTCTTCTATTATTGTAAGACCCTTTAATTTGCATTTATTTATTTCTGATCTGTCTATTTCTGTCTTGTCTATTATTTAGTCTAATACTATTTTAATTTGGTTAATATCCTTATTTATTAATCTATCTGAAATTATATGAATGTTTTTATTTAGTCTTATCTATTGTTAACAACTGTTTTCTATTTGTTTTTCTTTACTTATATACTATCTACATCTATTGATTTCAGTTGCTATTTCATTTTTTTTGTATTTCATTAGCTAGTGTTTGATTAAAGCTTTTTTCTTTTGACTACCTTTCCGAGCTGTATGTAGTCTTGTATGCCATATACTATTCATTCTTTTTTTCTTTTATCTTCTGATATATGCCCTCATTCAACTTGCATTGCCTAAGTATTTTGTTCATCTGTTTTAAAGTATCTTGGTACTACTCTACTTTCTGGGCTGCTAAGTACTTTTAATTTAATTGTTTTAAACTATTCTGCTTTTTTCTCTTTATTTAATTGATCTTGATAGCTTTTTAGTTGCTGTTATGTGATTAATTTTTCTCCTTTTGTGTCAAGTAGTTGATTTAAATATATTATACCAGATTTGTTTACTCTGACTGCTCTTTTTTTTCACAATTATATATTTTTAGTTCTTGTATTTTAGTACTATACCCAAACATTATCTATAGTTTACTTTCTATTTTAATATTTATTTTTAGTTTTTTTATTTTAAGTATTATAAGGCATGATAAGTTGTTCTTTAAATATGTTTTAATTTTTGGCTACTTCTTTGTCTTCTATATATCTTTTATTAAACCTGATCTTTGATAGCCTTGTGTTATTCTTAGTCTTATTAACTGTTTGAGACTGTCTTGTCTATTCAGTCTTGCCAAGAGACCATTCACTTGCTTTATAATTAACTTTTATCACAATGTTCTATAGCTGCCAAGATCTTTATATTCTATTACATAGTTTTTTACTGTTCTTTGCAAATTACTTTTTTGTTTTGCCAGATTTATTATTGGTTGATATATTTCATTTAGGCTTCTATTTGACATTTTTGTTAGCTGTAACATATAGCTTAGTTTGGGTATTATTATTATATTGTTTATATATGCAATTTGACTTATTGCATTTTTTTGTACTTTAGATTTCTTATAGTTTGGCTTACTATTCCTTTTGCCTTTCTTTTTACTTGTATTTTTTACATTCTGTTGTTTAACCATATTTTCAATAAACAAATTATTTTATATCTTGGTTCTTCTATTATCTTGCCTTTTCTATATATTACTGCTTTTTCTTCTTTTTAGACTTTTGTGTTCATTATTATTAATTTTGACTTTGATCCATTTATCTTTATATTATTTATTCAAAAAAACTCTTCTGCTATTTCTAAGATCTTTAACAATTGCTCTTAACTGCTTGTGACCCATGTTGTATTATCTGCATATGCAATTGCCACTTAATAATATCTTGTAATATTGTTGCACTTCATACCTTTTTGTAACTGTTGCTTAATTGTATATTCTAAATTTTCCTTTTCTTAAATTCTCTCTAATAATAGGTTGTAGAAGAAACATCATATTAATAGTAAAATTACTTCACCTTGGTCTATTCTATCTTCTGCTGTTAGTTTTTCTATTAGGCTATAGGTTGTAATTATTTTTAATTGTTTCTTGTAAAAAAGATTTAGTATATATTTAATTGTTCTCTTAAGTATTTTGACTCTTTGCAATACTAGTTCAAGACTTTTGAGAAGAACTGAATTGAATGCCTTTTTTATGTTCTGCAACAGTATTCATATTTCCTTGTCTTTTTTTTTTGTTTTCTCTATTATCATGTTTAAAATCTGTACTAGTTGTTCTGTTGAGTTTTCTAAGAGATTTGTAAAATTTGGCCTTCTAAGTATTTCTCTTTCTATAAATATTTTGGCAAGTCTTTTTGTTACCACCTTTGTTACAACTTTTCTGAATGTTTTAATTAATGCTATCAGGTGAATGTTGTTTAAACTATATTCTATTCTACATCTTTTAATATAGGGTAAACTTGTGCTATCTTCTACTTTATTAGAATTTCTCTTATTTTTAAGCATAAGTTTGTAAAGCTTCTGAAGACTTCTTGTGTTTTTACTTCTATTTTCTTAATCAATATATAGCTTATATCTGAGATACCTAGAGCTGTTCCTGTCTTTAACTCTCTTAGTACTTCTTTTCATTCTTTTTCATTAATTTTTCTTTTGACTTCTGTATATCATTCTTCTCTGATGCTTTTTCTTGGTTCATATATCTTTTTTTACTTTTCTGTTATTGTTTCTAATTTGGTGTTTTTTTTTCTAAATTGTATTTTATAATGTTCTGCTATATTTGTTTTTATCTCTTCTGGTTTTGTTATTAGATATGTTTCCTCTTCTACTTGCTTAATAAGTCTATCAAGTATTATCTTTTTATACAGTTTATTTAAAAGGCTGGCAAGCATTTTTTCTTGGTCTGTTTTAATTATTTCATATCATTGTCTATATTCTCTTCTAATTATCTTTTTGTACTTGTTCCCAGTCTTTTTTCTTTTTTTCTTGCAGAAACTTTTGCCATCTTTTCATATTTTCTATTCAGACATATAACCA